ATAAAAAAAAAAAAAAAAAAAGGTGCCAAACTTAAAAACAGGGCCAAGTTTGGAGCAGATTGCTTTGTCCCTTTATAAACCTATGAAACCCTGGACAACAACATTTGAAGAGTTTATCCATGCTGATACTAAGAACCTTGATCTAGCAGAGGTATATGCTGAAGTACAAGCAGTACCAGGTCTTAGTGAAAATGAACAACTCAAAGCATGTGCTTGGCTGATAGAAAATGACAAGCAATTTCAGATGCTGAAGGCACTCCCAATTGAGAAAAAAAAAAGTGTATGTTGTTGATGTTTATTGCACGTGGGGAGTGATTTGGTTTGCTAATATGCTCTGTTTGTTTAAGTTGAGTTATTTAGTTCATCAAACGATACGTTATTTTATACTTCGAGGAATACCTTCTATGTCGGTTATCAATTTTTTTTTTCTTTCGAAATATTTAATTTCTGTCATTTATAATTTACATGAGATATCCAAACATTGAAATTTTCAATTTCTATTATTTACAAAATCCGACATACATAAATCCAAACATTGAAATCTTCAATTGCCAGAAATTGAAATGACGGAAATCTAAATTCCGTCATTTTAGAATTCTATGTAATTGGCAATCCCTTCATCCAAACGGACTTGCAATGCATTTATGCTTTTGGACTATTTTGATTGAATTGTGTTTAAATCTTATAAGCATCTTGTTGTGTCTTAAGGTTTGTGAATTATACCAGTTGATAAATACACCTGAATGTGGTCTCAATACATAACAAATCCAGAAAAAAAGAAAAAAAGTAGGAAAGCTACTATCTTTTTAATATCTTGTCCTTTATGCTTAATGTTTTATTTTCTTTCATGTAAATTTACATGGTTTTTCTCTCTATTGTTCTATCTCCTCTCTATAGATGGCCAAGTAACTTTAGTGGATAAGATAATAATAGTAATAATAATAATAGAGAGAGAGAGAGAGAGAGAGAGAGAGAGAGAGAGAGAGAGAGATTTAATTCTCCTTGATTTCTTGTGTTTAAATATTAGGGAGAGCTCAGAAGTTCTGGTATTTGCTACTTTTCATTATGTTGGGGTGTATTCAATTCTAACTTTTAAAGACTTTTTGTAAGTAAGTGACTTTTATAGAGTTGACAAATTCTTAATGACTTTTACATACTTCATAAAGTTAAGTGATATACTCTCATATACTTTCATCATAGAGTTTTACATACTTTTATCTACTTTTTTTAATATTTATTTATGAATAGTATTTATCTTTTTAATATTTATCATAGAGTATTATAACGAAAAAAGAAATTGCTACGATTGGATACAATTGTGTAAAAGCAAAGAAATATTTTTCCATGTCTAAGAACTTTTCACTTGAGAACAAACAAGTATGGAGAAAATAAGGCTGTTGTTCTTCGATGCAACTCAAATATAAGGTGTGTCATCAATATTATGGATTTAATTAGTTTTTAGTTTGTAGAGCTAGGTCTTGGGGAAGAAGGGACAGATTATCCGATTGTTGGAACGAAGTTGAGATCCTCAAGACATTCTAGAAGTATACTCTGTTTGGGTGAGAGATACCAGTAAAGTGGCATGGTGATAGAGCCAAGCCAAATAACAGCACAAGAATGTGGGGTTAGCCATAAACCCCGAGATGCTACGAGCTAAATTGCTGTTGGAGAATGTGGGTTTTGTAACAAAATCATCTATTCCTACAGATAGGCCTTAAAAATTGCAAATGGAGGCAAAAAAAATTTACAGAAGAAACCAATGCAGTCCCACCATAGCTCTTTTAGTACGTAACAATTGTTTCAAGCATTGAAAAGAAAAAAAAAAGGTAAGAAATGGCTCATCATCATAACAATTCCGAGGACATATAATGATAGCCAAAAACAAAATCAAATTGGCAGTGTAAGTAGGCCATCTGTAATATCCCACATCGACCAACGGAGAGGGGGTGATGTGCCTAATATGTACATGCCCACCTCCATCTAGTACAAGGCCTTTTGGGAGCTCACTGGCTTCAGATTCCATGGGAACTCCGAAGTTAAGCGAGTTTGGGTTAGAGCAATCCCATGATGGGTGACCCACTGGGAAGTTGCTTGTGAGTTCCCAAAAACAAAACCGTGAGGGCAGGGGGTTCCAAAGCGGACAATATCATGCTACAACGGAGCCGATCCAGGATGTGACACCATCACTTAATAGTACACTGACCAAAGAGGGAGGGGGTCTAGAGACCCAAACATGGTGGCACACCCTCGCAATGGCCAAAGCTGCAACATGATCGAATTCGTTGATAAAGTCCTGGGTAAATTTACAAGACTTTTGGCCTTAAGAATTAGGCTTAAAAGTATTGAAAAGTCATTTATTTAACAAAGTTTTCAAAAGTCATTAATTTTTTGGTTCGTCAGCACATGTCTATATACCACTATTGGTCTATATACTATTAATAAAAAAACAAAAGAGGACAGCCCTAACGCATAGGTGCCACGTGTCAAACAAGTAAAGCCAAACGGCTGTACTATTTTTAAGAAACATTAATAAAACCGGGTACAGCCGTTCGGCTATACTATTTTTCAAAAAGAAATTTAAAAAAACCGGATATAGCCGGCCGGCTATACTATATATATATATGAGGACCCGCCCCAGCGCATAGGTGCCATGTGTCACGCCAGTAAAGCCAAGCGGCTGTACTATTTTTAAAAAAAATTAGGAAAAAATCGAGTATAGCCGTGCCTCTTTTTATAAATAAAAAATAAAAAATTTTGATGTATCAAAATCTATAAATCCGTAAACTTTACAATTGTAAAGTGAAAATTACCCTGATATAGAACCAGAGAAAACCTCATGTCCATTATTAGAAAAAGTATATTGTGGGTTAGCCCTGTTAATCATGATAATGAACTCGCCTACTTAAATTCAAGTTTACATTTGTCTAGAATAGATTATCACTTATATAAAAATAATAAATAAATAAAAACACATGTCATCTTTAAAATAAAACTCCAACTTTCTAATGATTAAAAAGGAAAATAAAGCCCAATTGAACTAACGTGCAACTTAACATCGGTAGTCTTTCTTCTTCTTTTTCAACGTCTATGCATGCAAGCATTTGGTTCCTCCAAGCTAGGTTTCAGTATTTGTTTATGGCAACAACCAGGTTGACCTTGAAATAGTATAAAACGAACAAAATGAGACAAATGGTACCAATTACAAAGCATGAACCCAAAAACCAATTGTGAAGAAGACAAATGGTGAGCATCTCGGCTGTTGCTATTGTTATGGAAATAGAAACGGTCTTGCTATTCTAAAAGAGTAATGCTATTTAGACACACAACATTGACCACCTTAGCTCCTTATGTGACAACTGATGTGTCATGTCATGTCAATTAATGAATGTTGCCATGAGTCCACTTACTAGGAACGCTAGGGTTTAGTCGAATCCAGATGATAAACTCAATCTATTTTATTGGGCTACAGCGGATTGGATGTTATTGATTGGGAATAAAAGTTATATAAATGAAAATTAACATGTATATATCATTAGACATAAAATTAAGAGATAAAAGAAATTGAAAATAATAAAAAGTTATCCGTTGTCGGGATTCAAACCCGAGTGGTTATCTCAATCTAATTTATTGGGCTACAACGGACTGGATGCTATTAACAGGAATAAATATTATATAAATGCAAATTAGGCATATAATTAATATATAATAGAAATATTAAAAATAAAACAATTTCCGCTGTCGGGATTCGAACCCGAATGATTAACTCAATCCCATTTATTGGGCTACAGCGGACTGTATGCCATTAATGGGAATTATAAAAAAAAAAAATTCTATTTAAACCCCACACTTCTCTTTGCTCACCCCAATACTTAAATTATTAAGCTGTCAGTTTTATTATTGCATAAAAAGACAAAAAAAGGTCATTCAACTTAATATTTAACCCTAGTACATCTATCTACACACACACTCCACACACCCCACCACTCTTCATATTAAGTTTTAGAAAAATACAAACTCCTCTACATCCTATTGCTAATGGAGTCTAGTCCCGTAAAAAATGGTCTTAACTTGCATATCAGTGGTCTGAGGTTTTGAACCCTACCACACACATCTTTGTCTGATTAGTTAACCTTTTTATTCACATGATAAAAACAGACTTGTGAAAACAACAAAATCTCATGTATACTACAAATATTGTTTAATGATTTAAGTATTGGGGTGAACAAATAAAAGTGTGGAGTTTAAATAAAAAAAACTCTTTTATTTCTTATTTTTTCAGCTTGGGGTGTATTTAAGGGTAATTTGAGAAGATAGTGGGGTTTTCTTAGAAATTGTGAAAATTTAAATTAGAAGTTGGGGTGAACTTAGAACATGGGGTGAACAAAGAGAAGTGTGTGGTTTAAATAGAAAATCTCTAAAAAAAACTATATAAATGGAACTATTAAGCATAGGAAAATTATTAAAAATTAAAAACAGTTTTTCCGCTGCCAGGATTTGAACCCGGATGATTAACTCAATCCAATTTATTAGGCTACAGCGGACTGTTGCTATTTACTTGAATAACAATTATATAAATGATGAAGCAGCGGACTGCAATTTATCCCTTGCCAATATTAACCCTCTTTGGCAAATACATGTCGAGTTGAAGCAGCAGTCACGGCCCACCTCAACCTCTCAACACAATCTAATTATACTTAGAAAATTATATATAGAACAAGAGAAAAACTCATGCCCATTATTAGAAAAAAAAACATATATAGGTTAGTCCAGTTTAATCATGATTAGCCTTCCTGCATGCGCGAGAGCCTCTCGTGCAAGGAGGCTAGTTACACTTATATGTTTACATTGCAAACCAAACCCAACTTAATTCCGTTTTAGATTTGCTTGCATGTTAAACGTTTTAGGATAGTGAATTAAATGGATAGCATTTAATACTCTTATTCTGAGATGGGATCAGATTTGTTTTCAACTTCATATACCAAGCACCAAACCAACAGTAATAATTCATAACTCTACCAAGATAGATTATTTATCTGGAAGTAAGAGGCATTGCATAAACCCAATGAAAGGACGAACCGATGTCATGGGTCGGTCTTCTTAATACCACACCCAATAACATGTTGTCTCAAACTCAAACAAATTAATACAACACTGGAAAAGCAAAAATACCACTCGACATTCCAAATGTCATCTATGAATGGCACATAATGAACAAAATTATTCTACTTGTCTGACTCAATGTCAGTACACAATCAAAAACTGGAAGCACCCTGTTATTTGGAGTGTAACACTCAAAAAGTGGCCTGAAAACGAAGTCTCACTCCATGGTCATATGATATCCAGCTTCTTTCCAATCGGATTCTTTGTGTAAAGGACAATTGCCATTTTCTGAATAAGCACTTGATGTAATCAGAGAAATCCAACTCAAAGGTTGCAAAGATTCATGACCAATGGTGTGCGATAACTGGTATAAAACTATGAATAGCACACAATAAACAACAGAAAGAAGAAACCATGATACAATTAACATGACTATTGCAAATTCAAAAAGAAATGAATGACCAAAACTGCTGCACAATTCTCTGATCCTTACAAAATCAAAATCTCATTTCTGTCATGTATTCACGGATGAAAAGATCATAAGAAAAAATCTCAAGCATGATAGCAGATGAAGAACCCTTATTTGAGAAACAACACGACATGCAAGAATAATCTAACAAATATGATTAATTCGAAGAAGAATTCCATTCAAAAAGAAAAAAATATACCCCGAAATTAAAGAGAGATACGTACCCCTAAAATCAAAACTAATGCTTGCTTCATTGATAACCCGTAGAAAGAAAATATAATATTTGAATAAATTTAATAGAAAGCAGAAAAGAAAATGGGGTAGAGTCTTGCATAAACAGGTAACATCTAAAGCATTTTAAATTTTTCAGTACAATGCAAACCCAAATAATATGGCAATATAGCACTTACTTCCGTTGTAGTGGTGGGGCAGATCCACATAGGGGCAAGAGGGGTCAATTGACCCCCACAAGCCCGGAATCCATCATTGGAGGTGAAGGAACGATGTTGTACACACCCCACCAACCCCACCACTCTTCATATTAAATAGAAAATTTCTATATTTTTTTATTATTAAAATTTCATTTTGTATTGTTTATTTTTAAAAAGCATTAATTTTTTTAATAATTTGACGGAATTGCCCTTCTACGAGTAGCAGAAGTTAAAAAAATTTGACAAAAATTAAGGATTGTCCTTAAATTGCTTAAATTGAAAACTACATGGACAAAATTGATCAAATTGAAATGACAAGGACCAAAGTGGTAATAATGGCAAACTACAGAGACCAAAATTGACTTTTTGCCAAGATATATTGTGGTAGTTCCGATTTTCAGAATTTTGTGGAAGAAAGCGTCAACTGCCAACATCACAACGTGGGTTATCCTTCTTTTGTGCAGTTATCATATTTTATTTTATTTTATATTTTTAATATTCTTGGTTACATGTTGAATTTTCCATTTTGTCCTCATCATATTTGTTTTCAATTTTTTCTTAACCAAAATATTCTCTGTCTTTTACTTTATATATATAAATATATATAGATGAGAACTCGCGATAATTCCGAAATATTTAATTCACTCGTAACAATTAACCCACTGAAATAAATTCTTTGTAAAAATGAAGAAAAAAGAAAGGCACACCCCTTTCCCGACATAGCATAGCATTGTTAAATGCAATTAGAAACAAAGTTTTTGTCGACTGGATCATCATCCACACACTTGAGAGCTCCGCCGCTCCCTTTCGAGATTTGGTCTCGCTTCCCAAATGTTGAAGGTTGGCTGAGACTCACTGACTCACTGAGATGCTGAAGATGATGATGCGGAATATAGCTGCTTCTTCTTCTTCTTATTGCACCAGCAGGAGATGGAGAGGTATGCCTTGTCTTCACTCTAACTCCACTGTTGTTCTTTTCGCCAACGATTACTTTGCTTTCCTTCACTCTCAACCTTCTAAACCAATCAAATCTACAAGGACCCAACTAGAGCAGCAACCCAAAATCACAACTGTTGAGGATGCTTTCAATGTGTTTGATAGAATGCTTCAAATGCGTCCTCCTCCTTCAGTTGTTCGTTTCACTCAAATATTGGGTCAAGTTGCGAAATTGAAACATTATTCGGCCGTCATCTCCTTGTATAACGAAATGGATGTGGCGGGAATTGAACCTGGTGTTTATACTCTAACCATTCTAATAAATTGTTATTCTCATTTGAACCAAATGGAGTTTAGTTTATCTGTATTGGGAAAATTCTTCAAACTTGGTCTTGAACCAAATGTCTTTACCTTCACCACTCTAATCAACGGCTTTCTTCTCGAGAATAAAGTGGCGGAGGCGGCAGGAATTTTCAACAAAATGATTGCGGGAGCTAATTGTCAGCCCAATGTGGTTACTTACGGCACACTAGTAAAGGGCTTTTGCATGAGAGGTAACAATAGTGCTGCAATTCAGTTGCTTAGGAAGATGGAGGAAGGGCCTTGCAAGCCTGACCTAGTTGTCTATAGCACAATCATCGACAGTCTTTGTAAGGACACACTAGTTGATGATGCATTAAACCTCTTCTCAGAAATGACGTGCAAGGGTATTGTCCCAGATGTCATTACCTATACATCCTTGATTCATGGAGTTTGCAAATTAGGCCAGTGGAAAGAAGCTACAAGGTTGTTGAATGAAATGGTGAGTAAAAATATCTTTCCAAATGTGTTAACGTTCAGCGTCTTGGTAGACACACTTTGTAAGGAGGGGATGGTTGTGGAAGCAGAAGGCGTGGTTGAGATGATGATTCAAAGAGGTATTGAACCTGATACGGTTACGTACAGTTCACTAATGGATGGTTACTGCTTGCGAGGAGAAATAGACAAAGCGAAAAAGGTTTTTGAACTAATGCTTAGCAAGGGCTCGATGGTTGATGTTGTTTGTTACAACACATTGATAAATGGATATTGTAAGCATAAAAAGATTGATGAGGCCATGATGCTTTTTCTGGATATGTCTCATAAGGGACTGGTTCCAAATACCATTACTTATACCAGTCTTATGGACGGTTTTTGCAAAGTGGGTAGAATAGATGATGCACAAAAGTTGTTCTCTGAGATGCAAGCTTCTGGCCAGCTTCCAGATGTTCAAACTTATGCTGTTCTACTGGATGGCCTGTGTAAAAACCGACAACTTTCTAGGGCGATGCAATTGTTTGGAGAGATGGAAGCGAAGAAGTTGGATATTGGTACTGTGATTTACAATATTCTTCTTGAAGGTTTGTTTATAACTGGAAAAACTGAATCTGCAAGGGATCTCTTTTGTGGTTTATCATCAAAAGGACTTCGACCTGATGTGAAGACGTACACTATAATGATTAATGGACTCTGTATCGCGGGTCTAACAAGTGAAGCAGAAAAGTTGCTTGTCGAAATGGACGAGAAAGGCTGTTCTACAGATGATTGCACCTATAACACAATTATCAGAGGCCTTATCAATAACAATGAGATATCAAAGGCGACAGTACTTATTCAACAAATGGTGGAGAAGGGTTTCTCTGCAGATGCATCAACAATGGAGTTGATAGTGAATTTACTGTCGAAAGATGAAGTGGATCCTGCTTTGTTACTGTTGATAAAAGGATCACTGTGAAATTAATATGCATCTGTGGACAATCGGTGCACCTTGACGACCATGAAGGCATTACAGTGGTTGTGTGCGTATGGCAGGAGGTGAAAATGCCTTCTCACTTGCATCCTTAATTTCTGGCATTAATTCTGTTTAATGGGATATCTAGCACTCATTTGAATTTTTCCCTTTATCTGTGATGATTTATTTACTTTGTATTCCTATCACTCGGCATCTTGCAGTATATAGAAGGCCAAATATATAAATTTAGGTGTGCCTTGTTGCGACTCTCCTAGCTTGAAAATGTTTCTACAGATAATGTGTCTGCTTATTCGGGTATCAGAAACTTTGACAAAACATAGACCATTATAGGTTAAAATCATAGGTTGGTTTGTCTCTCTTCCCACATAAAGATGAAATAATGAGCCTAAACTTTGGCAATTCATTGATGTTCTGGAGAGGAGTGTGTTATATTGGGATAGCGGCTGATAATGGTATATATACTGTTGTTCCTTGATTGAACTTATGTTGCGTACCAATCTTTATGTTAACTAAACTAATTTTCCAAGTCAAACTCTTTAGATGTTTTGCGTGGTTAGAAGTTGGAACTAGTTAGGCATGATGGAAAATACTTGCCCCAATGCCAGGATTGGGATTGGAAGGGAAGGGAGAGTTTTTACAAAGTGATTTTTGAAGATAGTGTACTATATTTCCTATCAAAAAGAAAAAGAAATGCTTTAATTTGCAGCTAGTTTATGCTTTAATTAGCACGTGTCAAACAAGTAAAGCCTAGTGGCTGTACTATTTTTAGATATTAATTTCCTAGTTTCAACATCCAAAGCAGATATCGAAGAGAGAGAAATTTCACAGTAACTCAATTAGAGAGTTTTTTTTTTGTTTTTTTGGTGTGGGAATGTTTGCCTTTGATCGACCTCGTTCTCTCGAGTAATACTGAATTCTATTACTGCACACATTATTTGTCGTAGAGAATTGCATGCTGAGTTGGAGTGTTCTTGATAATTCCTTCACTTTTCAAACAATACTTTACATGAAGAATACTACCACCTCTCTTACTACTATACCCATAAGTCTTTGTTTGAAATTGTTGTTTTGGTTGGCAAAGATATTACAAAATCACCATCCTGCATTTTTGTTACAACAAGAAAGAAATAATCTTAGCCTCTCACATTCATTCATAGTTAGTAAGATACGGAAAGGGAAAAAATACGAATAAAACACGTATGTGTTTTATTCGGCAAAATTTTGGCACATTACAACTTAAAAGTCTGGCCACTATATTATATTTTAATACAAATTATTTACATTTTTTAATATATATATATATATTATTTTTATTCACTAATATGTGAGAATTATGTGTATAATACGTGAATTTTGTGTCTTGTATTAAACATGAAAAATACATATGTACCTGTATAATATGACTATTGTACGTTTGCTTTTTAAAAGATGTGAACTTTACTGAGTTTTTAAGACGTTTGCAGAACACATATGTATTATTGAAAAATACGTGTGTACTTGTTTAATACATTATTAAACATGAAAGTGCTAAAATCTTTATATGGGTAATAACTTTGGAGAAATTTGATTATCTTTAACATATTTAAATATTCACTAAAGAAACTAATTTTATATTTTCAAAATTTAAAACCAAAAAAAAAAAAAAAAAACCTCTCGAGACGAAGGTTCGTCGGGACAGGTCTATGGTGGCGAAATTTGCCTAGTTTCAAAATTTTTATTTTGAAAAATAGTATAACTGCGCGGCTATACAATATTTTAAAAAAATTAGGTAAAACGAGTATAGCCGAGTGGCGATACTATTAATAAAGAAACAAAAGAGGACCTACCCCAACGCATAGGCGGCACATGTCAAACCAGTAAAGCCAAGCAGCTATACTATTTTTTAAGAAACATTAATAAAACCAGGTACCGCCGTGCGGCTATACTATTTTTTAAAAACCGGGTATAGCCGGCCGGCTATACTATATATCCAGCGCATAGGCGCCACGTGTCAAAAAAGTAAAGCCAAGCGGCTGTACTATTTTTTAAAACAATTAAGGAAAAACCGAGTATAGCCGTGCGGCGATACTATTTGAAGATATTAATTTACTAATTTCAACATCCAAAGCAAATATCGAAGAAAGAGAAATTTCACAGTAAATCAATGACAGAGTTCTTTTTGTGTGTGTGTGTGTGGGAATGTTTGCCTTTGATCGACCTCGTTCTCTTGAGTACCTAATCAGCCCAACCCAACTATAGGCAGAGGGAGAGGTAGAGGTACTACTACAGGAAGAGGGAGAGGAAATGGGAGAGGACAAATGCCAATTGGAACTGGAAATGGAGGAGGAAATGTAAGTGACAACTCTGTCAAATTTAATTCTTGTACTT